CTGAATACAATACAAGCTCACCAAAATGATGCTACGACCCTAAGATTAATTTTTAATACTTATGCAAATAGACTTGCCTAAATAGGCCCAATGAGCTAAATGCAGCTGCTCAGATGTGTTCAACAGCCCAATAATTGTGTCAACTAAACTGCTACATTCAGGAGGCAAAATCAAAATTGCTAGTTGTCACATCAGCTGTTCATTTTAGTCATCAGTGTTGTATAACATGGAACAATCTGTCACCCTCCTGTTCTGCATGTAAACTGGAATTAGATTAAAAAATAAAAAAAAAGGAATGAGGACAAAGGGAGAAATTAGGATAAAACAGCCAACATGTCACAAGGATGCCACACTTCCATTTGCCAAGCACAGCTACTCAGAATGGAGCCTCCATCTTATCAACATTATTAGTGTTTTCCTAGTATTGCAACAGAAGACCTTCCATTCTAGATGTTCCCCATGGAGGGAAAGCCTTCATAATTGTCAATTAGCTGGGCTCCAAGACTGTCCTATATACCCTGTTTCCCTGAAAATAAGACCGGGTCTTTTTTTTTTCCTCCCAAAGAAGCACCAGGCCTTATTTTTGGGGTATGTCTTTTATATTCACCTCTGGCACCGACAGGCCCGCCCACCTCTTCTTAGGCCAAACGAACAGCTTCGTTCTGCAGCTGCATTCTGGCCTGCATTTCACAATCAGGCCTTTCCAGAAGTCCTCTGCAGCTGAGGACAGATCTATGGATTGAATCCATAATTTAGTTCTTGGCTGCAGCGGTCTTGCAGAACAGAGCTATGGATTGAATCGATAGCTCGGTTCTTGGCTGCACAGGCCTTCCAGAAAGGCCTGTGACTGAGAAATGCAGGCCTGGCTGCAGAAGACACTGCAGAAGAAGTGGGATAGCGAGGAGAGGCCTGGCTGCAAGGTAAGTGGGGTACATGGGTTAGAGCTTATTTTCAGGGTAGGTCTTAATGTTGGGAAAACACAGTAGTAAGCACTGACCTTCCCTGGCCATTTTTGCTGTGCTTGCCAAAGAGCTGCCTGGTTCCTCTTTTTTTTTTTTTTTGTCACTCAGATAGGGAAATACTGACTTTGTATGAGATCTGTGGGAAGGTCTGTATTCCCATAAAGAAGCCAAAATACAGCACAAATTTGCTCAGCATTTTTTTTTCTTAGATAAGATAAGGAAGAGAGTGAATGGAAGCATTGCAAAGTGCTGAATCATAAATATGTATGTGTGTCAGTGTATGTATGTGTGTGTGTATATGTATGCATATGCTTGTCTATGCGTGAAGAAAAAAAAGAAAGAAAGAAAGAAAGAAAGACACAAAGAAAGATGGACAATGGAGAAGCATTCTGAAATATTTTTTTCAGAGAGACTCTAGATTTGGGTTGCACATGAGCAGCAATACTGACTGGCCCTGTGGCATAGTGTTATGGACTTCTGAGATAAAAGAAGAAAACCTGGCAACTTATTGGTCTGTCAGCCACCTGTAAGTAATGCTTGAGACTCAAGCAGAGGTGGCTCTATTCGGAAGAGTCCTGAGCTCTAGAACATGCCACCAGCTAAAGAGAGCTAAGCAGTGGAGAACTGCATGACCTTGATCAAAGAATAATGAAGGGTGGGAATCAACTCCCTCCTCCAGCTACTTTCCCCCATGCTTTTATGATTTCATGTCCCAAGTACTGCTTGTTTCTTACCTTGTGGACAACTTCCATCTCTGACCTGATCTGTTCTTTTTGGGAATTCTCTGGCTCTGACCCACAACTTTCTTGTGTGTGGTAGGGTCTGACATCCATTCCTCGCATTTAGCAGACCTGCTTCTCAAATTGATAAGCAAGACCTCTGTCTTTGACCTAGCCAAATCTTTTTTTACTGAGGTCTCTAAGTCAGGGGTCTCCAATCTCTTGGCCATGGCCTACTAATGAGCCATGAGATGTTTACAACCAAGCCATGGAAAAAGCAGGCGAGTGCATGCACACGCATGCGCCTCCCCCCTTGCTCAAGCAATGGGCAACCGCGTGCATGTGCACTCCATTTGCGTGAGCGGCAGGTGTGTGTGCACGCTGCTTACGCAAATGGAGCTGCACAGATGCATGTGTGCTTGCCATATGCTCACACAAACCCATCCTGTCTCTCCCCCCTCTGCCAATTCGCAAAGCTGGAAAGGTTGGGGAACTCTAAGTCTCTAGCCTGTGCTTATCTCTGCTTCATATACTGTGAAAATGTTTTGACAAGCCAATTACAATGTAAGACTTACAAATCTGGGGGTCTAAGTTTTGTATAAGTCAGGTAGGCAGTGAAGGCACCACTTCCTTTATCAGCATATTTTCCTCCAGGCTCAAGACATGAAGACAAGCACATTGCTGTGGTTGTGAAGAAGAGAGTAAGGAGAGTTTGAGTGGGGTAAATGAACAAAAATAAAGAATTTTTGACAAAGGAGGAAGGACTTCGAGAAGAATTAACTTTCCTAGAAGTGCTGAGCTGCACTGGGTTGTATTGATCTAAGGAGGTACCCTAGAAAATAGAGAAATCCCAAACAGAATAATAGATAGAGGCCAAACACATATATGTGCCCATTTTAAAAATCTCTTTCTGTTCCTCTGTTGTTGTATGCAGTGCTCTTACTATTTATGTATTTATTTAGTTAAGTTGACTCATATGCCTGCTTATCTTGCTGTAGAGATCCTAGGTAGTTAACGATATATAACAACAGAATACAAATAAATATGAAAATAACAATACAATATTCCATAAGACAATCACCATAAAAAAAACAACCCAGCAACAACTACACAGGCTCAAACTAACCATTTCTCCTCCCCATGCTAGGATGATATCCATGTTGTGACAGCTTTTAAAAAAAAAAGGGGGGGGAGGGAGGAATTTAATCTTGTGGAATTGGTAGTGGTAATAGTATGGGGTTCCATAAAGCAGGCACCGCAACTAAAAAGGCCCAGATTCTGATTCCCACAAGATGACATTTTCAGCCTTTGGGGCATGCAGCATGCATTTCCTGCCAGACCTAACAAGACAGGTAGAAACAATTGAGAAGAGGCAATCCCACAAATGACTTAGTTCCATGCCATGGAAGCTTTCACAAGTGACAAAAAGCATCTTGAATTGCACCCAGGAGCATACCTGGAGCAAATGCAGCTCATAGAACAGAATTGTAACTGGTCATGCCTATAATTGCCCATGCTACCCCAAAATGCAAGACCAGTTGTTGCAATGTGCTTTTTGCACTGTTCTTATATGTAATGCTAGAGTTTTTGAATTCAAACAATCCATTATGTATGAATAACATACGATGAACATTTATGTACTAGTGAAAAGATTCCAAGGTTTTAGTACAGTTTCTTTCAGTAAATAATGCATAAATATTTCTATATAAGTTTACAAATTCCTACGTGAGAAAAGTTTTCAACATTACATTTTAGGAAAGTCAAATGTTCAATAATGAGAAATGTGAATGTAAATCAGCTTTATTGTGCCAAAGTCTGATTGGTTTGTTTGTTTTTCTTTCACATATGTCAGGATTTATGTTGATTCATTAAGCATTCCTACTGTGATATAAACTGGCACAACTGAAAAAGAGGTTGTGATATGTAGGCTTTGCAAAATATAACAGTTGCACTAATAATTATTTTTCTTGGCTGAATCAATACAAAATATTGATTTTTGCTCTGGACTATGTAACCTCTCTTTTAATATAATTCAACTAAGTACCTGGATTGGTAAAGAACCAATAAATCAGAAATGCAGTAAGTACTGTAAGGTCCAGAAGTGCTTAAAAAAGATGCAGATTTAGGAATCACCATGGGAATTATTGATCTATCTTTCAAAAGGTAAGTGATCTCTTTTTCTTATCCAGAATGAAACAATGACTGTTATTATAATGGGATTTGGTTTACATCCACAAAGTACATTTTAGAAATGTGCTAACCTGTAAAACCAGAATCACAAATACACTGGTAGCCTCCAGGCTTGTTGAAGCAACTTCCTCCATGCAAACAAGGAACCGTTTCACACTCATTTATATCCACTTCACATAAGACCCCATAGAAGCCAACTGGGCAGTTGCAAAGGAACCTATCATGTTAGAGAAAAGGAAGATTTCAGAGGATGGCAACATCAGCAAATATTTGCCATAAGTTTAACTTACTTCTACCTGAACGCAGAAATGCAGTGGCTCTCAGGAACTCCATTTGGTCTAGATAGGATTTATCTGATAAACTGATCTGACCCACAGCTCAGAATATGGTACTATTTTGGTTTTGCTCTTCTGCAAATTATTTCACAGTTATGTATGCCAATATCTATGTGTATGAATGAGGGTGGCTTATTTGGGGTAAGTTAAACTGTACTATATGTATACTTTATAGTTAAATGTTTGATATATATTTTTGGGGAAATACCGAAATATTCTTCCTGCATATCTTTGAAAGGAGAGATAGCCAAACTGAGGAAACGGCCTCAGATATACTGATATACCGTACTCAGATACGCTGCCAAATGTCTGGCAAATGGCCAGAGTTATTCTAAATCCATGCAGAAAGTAGGAATTAGGAATGGCCCCATTGGTAGGTTTGGCCTTTTTTGAGAAGAGATTGGAAGAATGACTGCTGATTGGCTTTGGGGGTAGGTGAGCTTTCTGCCTTTTGATTACTGGGTTTTGTGAGATGATAGAAGAGATGATATAACTGAATATCAAGCTTGGCCTTTCCTGAGAAGGACAACCACATCATTGATAGACTGCAGGTGTGTCAGACTTGGCAGTAATCAATGGTAGTTAATTACAGAGGTGGAAGAAATAAGCTGGCACAGTGGCAGGCACGGCAGATCAAGAGGTGGCCCAATACAAGATGCATTTGTAGTTTTGCTGCCAGTTGTTATACTATCCAGCATTCATAAAAAGCCAGTCCACTTCCCAGCCAGGTAGAAAATGCATTCTGTTCTGTTTCATCTCCCCTGAACGTCTGAGAAAAGGAAAATCTAGAAGCTGGAAGAAATTCAAGTAATCCCAAAAGAAAGAGCAACAAGGAACTGATTGCCCAAATCACATACCTGAACACTAGGGAGGGGTACTATAGGTAGATTTTAGTCCGTTTTCTGTTTTCATGTTTTTCTTAATTTGTCAGCAAAGCAATATAGCTGGCGGGAGCCCTATATCTCTTAGATGCCACAAGACACTCCCCAGGAAGATAGACAGTGGCAGCGAGCCACTCCAAGGCAGGAAGCAAAGCTTAGATGTATGGAGTACACACAAGGGCTTCTGGGAAGCTTAGAGGCAGCCATACTACTATACTCCTCCTCCCCCATCCTCTGATATCTATAAATGTTGGTTTGGTACCCATTCACTCATTTTAAGTGACTTCATCTTGCCCCAATCATACAGAATTAAAAAGAAAAAAGGATTCAGTGTATATTACTGAACTAAATTCCTAATTCTGTTGGATGATCAGTACAGAACTATATTATGTCACTAGTTATAACTTGTGGCTGGTGATGTGATAGAAATTAAGAGCTGTGAATGAGGGTCAAAGTAGTCATTTTGCAATACCGAAGAGTTCTGATAAGCAGAAATATTAGTGAGCTGATGAAAGACATAAAAGATACCATGAAAGCAACAACTTTGCTCTGTTTTTATCCTCAGCACTATACTGCATCTGAATGACGGTCCATTTAGCTTTCATAGCTTATGAATGTTAATCAAATTATTCTATAATAATTCTGTGATTATATTGCTCTATAATGGTATAATAACTATTCTCCTATTTGTTCACTACAAACTCTAAGAAATGAGTCATAATTGCTTGCTCTATGCCAGGCATGTCAAACTCGTGACGTCACGTGACGTCGCGCGATGTATCACAACTTTTTCCCCACTGCCAGCAATGGGTTGGGTGCAGTTTTATCATGATGCATCTAGCCTGTGGGCCGGCAGTTTGACATGCCTGCTCTATGCTGCTCAAAAAGTACAGGCTATCTACTTTCTCTAATACTACTTGACATTCTATATCATCAAAGCGAAAGGTCAAACTTTTTTTTCCCTTTAAAAAGAAAAACTTGATTCCAGTCACAAACCTGTTTATAAGATCTATGCATGTTCCCCCGTTTGCACAGGGATTTGATAGGCACTCATTAATCTCCCCTTCACACAGCATCCCAAAAAAGCCATCTCTGCAAAAGCACCTGGATAGAAGGATTGCATTTAGTGAACTGCAAAGAATCTTTAGCAGAAGAAGTAACAAAAAAAGAAAAAAAAAGAAAATGCAAGATTTCATTCATATTTTCTGTATATTGTATCACTTAAAATAAACAGTCTGGACAATTTAAACAACTTTTTTAGCAGAATACTTGATTAGCTGATTGCACAGATTTTAATTATAGCCTAGAAATCAGAGGAACTTTAAGCAATGGCTTTTCCCACAAATGATCTAAATCTGTGCCACTAAATATATTATCTTCCTCTAAAACAATCCTCAAGCCAAGTTTGACACTGATTCTTCCTTACCTATAACTGTTTACCCCATCCACACAGTGACCTTGATTCTTACATGGGTTGGAGAGGCATTCATTATTGTCAATTTCACAGTAAGTCCCTTCAAATCCTGAAAGACAGATGAAGCAGTAATGGATCTATGATCTCTTTGACTTAGTTTGAATGTCAGGAGCAGAAATAACAAAGACCCAGGTGAATGCCTTCAAAATTGAGCTTTAAAACACTTGGAGTATTTTCACCTGTTCAATCTAACAAGTGATGCTTCCCCATAGAGATGATTACATGTTGAATAATACTTTAATACAGGGGCAAAATAAAGAGGAATTCAGGAAATGAGCATCTAGCAAAATCTGTAAGAGCACTGTTATCTTTTTTGAAAAACTTGCAAATGTTATATTAAAATAGTAGTATGATGTCTTCAAAAACTATGCAAATCTGTCATATGTGTCTTAAGCTACCATACATCTCAATGTTTCTCAATCTGGCAGTTTGAAGATGTGTGGACTTCAACTCTCAGAATTTCCCAGCCACCATAGCTAGATTATTATCTATTATCTATGTCAGGGGTGTCAAACTGCCGGCCCGCTGGCTGGACGCGTCATCCAGAAGCCATGTCCACCTCATTGCCAGCAATGGCAAAACCGTCCTGATACATTGCACGACATCACATGACATGTCTGATCTATGTTCTAGATGATGATAATGTTAGTGTATGGCATTGTTACAGTAGCTAGAACAGGGGTGTCAAACTGCCGTCCCACGGGCGGGACATGTCACAAGGAAACCGTGCCCACCCCATTGCCAGCAATGGGGGAAGAGTTCTGATATGTCACATGACATCACATGACGTCGCAGGTTTGACATGGCTGAGCTAGAAGACCACAATGCAATTGCAGAGTAATAGTTTGGCTTGGCAAGATACTGTGGGGGGGGGGAAGCATGGCAGTTTTCAGAAACTTTAACTTTCTTACAGATACCAGTCTTGTTGTAGGATATGCTTGCGTGCTTCCAAAGGTGTGCCACAGAAGGGCGAGCTGGCTTCACAGTAGAGAGACAAATGGCTCTTCCTGCAGCATCACCCAAGGCCTCTTCCCTTCCCAGAGCCATCTTGCAAACAAGCATCACAAGTGGGAATGTTCACAGCCAGCAGGAATCTGACTGCCTGCACAGAGCACCACGTCTCCCCACTAAAGTGGTGCCTATTTATCTACTTGCATAAAACATGCTTTTGAACTGTTAGGTGGAAGCAACTGAAAGAAACTCACCCTGCCATGCTAAACTCAAACTGCCAGAGCAGAAACCATCTCCAGTGTCATTAAGACACTGAGCCACTGTACCTCTTATACATTCTAGATATTCTAGAGTAAAAAAAAATATTGTCACTTACAAAAGAGACTTTTTTTCTTCCCTTATCTATTTTTTATATTGATAAGGCTAGGAATGGGAAAAATGGTTTAGTATAGATTTAAGTCATTATTTACTTTATTCATACTCACTGAACCAATTCAGAGATGAACACAGTTTAGAATTGTCATTGCAATTCCTTCTACAAAAATATAAAAAACATGATTTGTGTTGGCAGATGAGAGTACATTAATGAAAGCAATGTAAAAATAGCCTGGAGAAAATGTATATTGAGAGAAAAAAATTAAGAAAATGTGCTTATCAGAATAGTAATATTTTTACAAGTTGGTAGACCAGTGCAAAACTGGACTTTTCTTTTTTCTTTTCTGTTTATAAATAAAATAACTGGTAGAATATGAGGGCCGCAGTGAGGGAAAAATAACCCTGCACTCTTCTGTATACGGTGATCAGATATTAATGGAACAATGTATGATCCAGCTATACAGAGACCCCAAATGTACTGTTTTCAGCATCTGAGCAATTCTAATATAGATTACTTCTAATAATGATTCAAAATTGAATGTCATTTCAAATGTTGAAAGCAATGTAAAATTTGAGGGTTTTTCAAGAGTGCTTATAACATTGAGTGCCATCACTTAACTAGATCATTCATCAATATAATATTTCTAGTCATTAGACTGTAAAGGGGAGAGACTGATATTGATGATTTCATTTGTTGCTATATTAATTATGTAATGATAGGAGGTATTTAGTCTGTTTTGGTTTTGAAAAAGGTTACATAATTTGACAGAGAAAATTGAATTTAAGATTTAGTTTGCTAGAAAATTTGGAACTCAGACATCATGCTAAGTCATGATTAAGATTTACCGTACTATGTTTTGGTTTAGTGTGATTTGTAAAATATATTGACAAAAGAGCATTCAGAGTTTATGACGGTGTGCTTTATTGCTACTGAGAACCAAACATAGGGAGATAAACTTCACTCTTAAGTTAGGACTTCAGTATGAAATGACATTCCTTGAGGTCCTTTTCATCTAAAGTGAGCGTTATGAAAGGAGTGAAATCTATTTCAGGAAGAAAAAAAAAGTAATGTCATTCTTATCATGAAGGTGTGTAATCTCTGTACAAACACAAAGGAGAAACAGACACACAGAGAGAAAAGCAATATATATATGAATGGGAAGGTTCTAGAAAAGTTTAAAATTTTCTATTCAGCAACAGGCTCACTGAGCATGTGCAAGAAAACCTGAGTACGTGCCTGGAACTAAATAAAGAATGTCCACATGTAGAGAACAAAAGAATACCCATATATGGTAAGGTAGGAGGTAAGATAGAATAATTGTGTCGTCTGATAGGTTTGTGACCTGCCACGTCAGGAATAGCTGACGTAGGTATAGGAGGAGATAGGGAGGGGTATAACTGCTGTTACGCTTCTGTAGGAGGTGTGGCTTTTCCCTGCAACTCTTGAGTGAGTGTATGGTTAAGTTTCACCACGCTTTGCAAACCGTTTTCTTTTACTAAACTCAACTTTGATAATAAAAGAAACTTTATTCTGCTACTCCGAACCTCGTCTCTGAATTTCTTTCAAGGAATTCTACAAACAAATTGGGGGCTCGACCGGGATCCAATCTGCGCTGGGACTCTGAGGGGTCCTCCTTAGGTGCACCCCTTTCCTTTTGAAAGGAGGGGAACCACCCAGAGGACTGCGGAGCTCTTGGAAAACCCGTAAAATTTTAATAAAGACGAGTATTAGGAGAAGGGTGAATAAAGTGCGGAACAGCCTGAAGACAGACCGGGTAACATCTGCGCGCAGACCCTGGTGAGTACTGGTTTGAAAACACCAGAACACAAGAGTCCAGGGCGGTCGGGATAGAGTGTGTGGATGTGAGAACTGGCAACGGGGCCGGGTGGAAGTCCTTTTGAGGGACCTCGGGGAGGTCTGCAGGACGGAGTGAGTGAAGGGGATATTATTGAATATCCGGAGACGGTGACGTGTGGAATTGAGAAGGAGTTGCTGGGAGGGACATAGGCACACATACTCAAGATAGGCTGAGCACCCATAAAAGAAATGGGGGGCAATACAGGGTCGACCAATCCGGGGAAAAAGTGTGTTAAAAGGATCCGTAAAAACCCCAAACTTAAAATCGACCCGAATGGCCCTTTGGGCAAAATATTGGCTGGATGGGGATCCCCGCCCTATAACCGGGAGATTTTGAGGTTGGGGTTGAATAAAGAAGATATGGTTAATTTATGTTGTTTTGTTTGGTGGGAGGACGATAATGTGGAGTGGCCAAGGAATGGCTCCACAGATTATTTTCAGTGTCACAATTTATATAACTATGTGAAGAAAAAGAAATGTAAGAGTTTAGATAATGAATTAGATTATGCGCTAATTTGGGTGACAGATGATGGTAGCAACAGAACAGCAAGTAATGAAGCAGGAAAAACCTCCTAGAAGAGAGTTTGGGGATAAGAAGAGTCCCTTTGAGACAAGATATAGGGGGGATGAAAGGAACCAGTATGTTAATGGGAGTAGAGGAAGGGGATTTGGAGGATTTCAAGGTGGATACCAGAATAAGGAGACAACGTGCTTTGGATGTGGAATGAAGGGCCACTTTTAAAAAAAAAAAAATTGCCCTAAACGCGCGAGAGAACAGCAAGTTTACTCAGTGTGGGAAGAAGAGGATAGTTTTTACTAGGGGAGGGAAAGGAGCTCATTGGCTTTTGAACAGCTCCTTGAAATAATAATAATAGTTATTGATTTGTCAAGAGAAAGTATGAAATGAAATATCCCTATGTGAAAGTGTTTATACAAGCAGTTTGAATGGAAGTGAATGTATGGATATGCTGATCCTGTCTCTCTCTCTCTCTGTGTGTGTGTGTGTGTGAGTGAGTTTCTCCCCCATTTAAACTGCAGGTTTTATTGTTTTAGCAAGTGTTTGCATGAGAAGAGTTCCATGGAGAATGTGAGAGAATTTATGGCAAATTCATGTGAAGGAGAGAAAGCTATTCCTCCCCCTTCGTTTTCAGCTGGCTGTGTTGCTTTAAGAGTGAGAGACAGAAAGAAAAGGGGGGGGCTGCTCATTTTAACTTTTTTCTCCGCTTGGAATTCTGCTTTGGGAGGAAGGTGGGGTGGATGTGAAATTTAATACCCATTCTTATAGTAATGAAATATGAGAAGAACTTGAATACACCTATACTGTAGTTTTATTTTTATGTTTTTATGTCTGTGTGCAGGACACACTGATAAAAACATAATATCTAGGAGACCTGAAGGAATGGTAATTCAACCCTTGTTTAAAACGAAGGAGTTGAGAAAATTTTGGGATTATAAATGAGCTATGTTTTGAATAAAGATTTGTATGCAAACAAACTCAAGCAGAGTTGGTGAGCGCTCCTTTGTTGGCTCTTTACTAAGCAATGTGTTTGTAAATACGGATAAAAGAAATGGCTAGGGGAGGGATAATTGATACTTTTCTATGGTTAATATATGGTTGGTTATATGATATGTAGACAAATACATAAAATGCTCTATAACATCTAATGGTGAGGCTATTTCAATGCATTCAAGTTGATTTTAAATCATCTCAAGTAGGAAATTCCACAATATGAAAACTAATGACATGTTTATAAAGAATTAGATACTGGGGCTGTTTTCTGCTTTGTCTTATCTCAGGAAACAAGGCTTGCTGATCTAAACACCCCCTTTGAAATTTCCTGTCCACAAGTTTGAGGTGGGACAGT